ATGACATCCCCGAATGGGTCATGGGCGCAGTTCATTGTATGATCAGTGTGAAAAGAAATATTTTTTGCATTTTTCCTACTTCCAAACAAATGCATAATAAACTGAACAGAATTACTAAAAATAATTACTCATTTTAGTCCAACTCAACCTACCAATTGTACTATACGAGGAAGCTGTCTAAATTGCTCAATTTAACACATGCACTTTCAAAATGACTTGGAAGTACTCACTGTAGGATCCCACACCATGTGACTTTATATAATTATAGAACTATCAGTATATTTTTCATTAGCTGGATGCAATGTTTTGGAAATTGGGTCAAACTTGTTAAATTAACAATTACTTCGGTTAAAAAAAAAATGGTTTAAAAATGCCAAAATCGACTAGTGCGCCTGTATGCTAGACGATTCACCTCAAAATTTGATTTTTAGTTTTATTTTTTTTAATCAAGAAAAGATGAATTTTAGAAGAGCGTTAAGAGTAAGTGTTCAAGGTGGAAGATCCTCTTCGATTCACCTCTTTGACCCTTGATCTTATCTTTTGTGATCGATGCTTTTGTCAATTTTAAAAAATTGGTAGAATGAACAAAGAGTAAAGAGGAGAATTAAATAAACAAGAAAACATATTCAGCCCATGTTTGGTGACCATTTTTTGGAAAAGGGTTGTTTCGAATATTGAATTTTTGGTAAATATGTGATTAAAAAGTATGAAAATGTTTTGAATTTACGTGTAAGAATATTTTATTATGTGAATATGTGGTTGAAAATGATTATATAAAAAATAGTTTTAAAAGAATGAAAAACAAAGTGGTGCTTTAATAGATTGCTTAAGAATAGAAGTAAATAAAAGACATTCATAGCCAATAAAATAATTCGTGGTAAAAAGGAAACGAAATAAGAAAATGATGGACAGAAGTGCTTCTTTACGGCAATGCAATGCATGTGGTCTTTCTTTACGGCATGCAGAATACGCCGTCTATGAAACGTCGTAAATAAGTTTTACGGCATTCAGTTGTACGCCGTAATAGGTAAACCAGTATTTAACATAAATGATGGACAGCTGTGCTTCTAGACAAAAATATATTCAAGTCAATCAATGGACCTACTGCACCATCTCATGGCCTGCCTACTAATGCCTTTATTGCATGGACTCTGATTTTGTGACAAAAAATTAGACATTTCACATCATTCTTCTATCTTGCTGACTTAATTCATTTGAATAAGTCTCTTGGAATTAATTATGGCAATTCAACTTTATCATCTGTCATCTTATTCTTAGTGGCTAATGGCTAATTGCATATCCTTATATCAGTGGGATTAATATGGTTTGCGTTCTTTTTTATAACTTGAGTTGTATTAAAAATTTGAAAGGGTTCGGGTTGAAAATTATTTAAAAGATATATATACGAACATAAATTGATAAATACACACTATAATTTAAAATTATTAAGGTGTTTGGGGTGGAATAATTGTACAATGAAGGCGACTGTGAATTGGAAACAACGTCTCCTTTTCAAGAAATCGGAAAGATATCAAACTTCATTCAATTTATATCGATTAACCATGTCGATGCCTTTCATTATGAAATGTCAATATCAAGATTGAACTCTCCGTAAAATTCACGTCGTCTTCTGATATCAAGTAGCCTCGTCAAGATCAACTTGAAAGAACTAGTGGTATGAAATGGTCAATTTTTACCTTTCTCTTCTTGTTTTTTATGGCTAACTTGTAAAGTCAAATCATATGGAGCTTGTGGGTTTTTTTCTTCACGCCATTATAGACTAGATGAAAGATTAAAACACTTCACATGTTAGCATTTAAGGCAATCCTGCAGATTTTCAAGGCAAATTCTGCCCACATACTTGCTATAATTTGCTACATAATTCAATGAGAATACAGGTCATACTGTATATATCATGTGATATTGATTGTGACAATTTTTGGTCCCTACATCTAATATTTTTTTATATTATTGTTTATTAATGGATTATTTAAGAAATAGATCGAGTTATTAACACAAAACCTCTTATTATTCGTGTAAGCTGAAATTGTAACCAGAGGCTTTTATTGTGTCTACTTGAGAATTAATTTTGCAATTATAAAGAATAGTTGAGAATTGAGTTTGTCTTTAAAATTAGGGTCCAACTTGTCACTCACAAAATAATTTAAGGACCATAGTGAAATTTGTTGACCTCGATTCTCATACGGATTACGTGGCCAACGGATCCTGATTTCACTCTCGTCCATGTAGCTTTTTCCCTGTACACTTGGACAAACAGTTAATGCAAGTAACCTTCTCCAATGGTGGGGAATGACGATCAAAGCAATCTACTTATGAATTGGGTGTGGGGCGTCCTAAGATGTGAATCATAGAAAGGGACTTGGATTCGGGAGTGTGTATAGAGAAAATAATGAGAGAGCAAAGTTATAGTTAAGAGTATAAAATTGCACTACTTTCAAATGACATTATGTGTAAGCTTTTATAGTACATGATGAAAAATATTGACCGTTGGATGAAGAGATACGTGGCTTTATCTTGATGATCGAGGTGCCTTACCATGGTGTCTGTCAATCCTAAAGAATATTTACATTCTTGTTTTCCCCATGCACGAATCGAGTAAAAATGATGAGTTTTAAACAAATAACAAAAATATGACTTTTAAATTCATTAAAACTCTTCTTCTGCTCATCAAACTCAATTGTGAACTAGGTGTAGTCTTTAATCTTATTATGGGTTCCATGAATCTAGTGAAATTGCATAATAGGTCTAGAAGTTGGGTAGGTCAGTCCGAATATCCATTACACTTCGAATATTCCGTAAATGGAACTTTTTGAATCCACATAATTACTAGAACCAAACTCGAACCGGAACCAATTCAGCTTTACCCATAATATTTTTAAAAATATCATTAGTTTTGACCAATACTTTAAAATTCAGCGTTAACATTGATCTAGAAAAGATGAATCGTCAAGAGGTAAAAGGGTCAAACCTGATCCGACCAGTTCTTGATTTGTTTTTAGCGACTTTATTTTTTTCGGTTTTAGTTTAATCGGATTGGTTTCTAATTCTTTGTCTTGAATCGGATATTTTGCTACGATTTTCAAAAATATTGGTTTAACTTTGAACAAGAGATTTACGTAATTGAAATTATCCAATTAAATCTAAGATGAAACTTAATAATTGACTAGGTTGATGTAAAACATCTAAAGATAAATGTAATTTTTTTTATTAGTCTATTTGAAAACGATAGTTTTCAAATCGATGCGTGAAAGATCTTGGCTACACCCCTATCACATACTGAATAAGGGTTAACATATTTTCTATTTTGTGGAGTAACATTTTTATAGTGAGTGTTAATTTACATTTAATCATTAGTTTTAACCAATACTTAAAATTCTCCTTAAACATCGATCTAGAAAAGACAAATGGTCAAGAGTTAAAGGGTCAAACCTTATTCGACTAGTTCTTGATTTGTTTCGAACGGTTTTGATTTTTTTAGCATTTAAGTTCATTCGGATTGGTTTTTTATCCTTTATATCGAATTGGACAGTTTGGTACGATTTTCAAGAATATTGGTTTTACTTTTGACAAGTGTATGTAATTGACATTAACCAATTAAATTTAAGGTGAAACTTAACTACTTTGTAAGTTAATATGAAACATCCATAGACAAGTTTGATATATTTGTTTATTAGTCTATTTGAAAACGATAATTTTCGGGTCTAAGCATTAAAGATCTTGGCTACATCCCTATTGCATACTGAATAAGGGTTAATATATTTTCTCTTTTGTAGTGTAACATTTTTTTATGGTGAAGTAGTTTGCTAAATTACAATCATTAGTTTTAAAAATACTTCAAAATTCGGCTTGAACGTCCATCTAGAAAAGATAAGGAATTTTACATTTGTACAGAAATGGAATTGCCAGAAAATTTTCAGAACACTCACATGGGGGTGGGTGAGTAAAAGATTGTCAAAAAAATGGGCCCCACCTGTGTATGTGTGTTCTGTTGCATTTCTGTATATATATAATCTGTACACACAGCATCTATCGAAAAATAAATGGTCAAGAGGGTCAAACTTGACCCGGCCAGTTCTTGATTCGTTTTGAAAATTTGTGCTTTCTCGAGTTTTAAGTTAACCGGATTGGTTTCTAATTTTTTCTATTGAATTGGATAGTCTGGTAATATTGGTTTAACTTTCAACATGTGATTTACATAATTGAAATTAACCAATTAAATTTAAGATGGAACTTAACGATCGATTACTTTGTAAGTTAATGTGAAACATCTAAAGATAAGTGTGATATATTTGTTTATTAGTCTATTTGAAAATGATCATTTTCAAATAGATGCATTAGATGATCAATTCCGTATCACTTCCACCATGCTCATCCAATAAAAACGATCGTATTCTCATTTAGAATGCAAAAGCAATTAGAAACTATGCAATATACATTAATTGGTATCAAAGAGCAAAATTAGAAAGAGTAATACATGAAAAATTGGAGGGGGGGGGGGGGTTGGGGGGGGGGGACTCGATAGCCTAGAGCAAAAAGTCAATTAAAGTTTGAGTTTCTGCATATTCATAGCTAGGTAAAAACTAACCAAATAATAATTCTTCTAAAAAAGTTGAGGATTTTCATCAAATAAGAGATCAGTCCCTGGAATTGCACTTTCATCAAGCAACCAATTCTCGATCATTGATAACGGCGTCGGGTCGGGCTCTGGTGAATTCGAAGAACTTGTGAGATTGTTGATGAATGAATTCTGTGTAGTTGAAGAAGAAATTGATGACTGTTCAGATTTTGGAGGGTTCCAAATTTTGAGCAGTCTGGCAATGTTTTCAGTGCTGGAAGCATAAGTGAATCCTTGGATGGTGTTTTCACATGATAATGCATCCTCAAGGGCTTGTTTGGCTGTGTTTATATCAGCTTGAACCCTCTTTTCCCATTGCCCTCTGGGAATGAATCCATTAGGAATTTCAGGTGGTTGAAGCCTTCTAAGCTTCTTCTTCAAATGGATATTCCAATAATCTAAGCTTCTTCTTCAAATGGATATTCCAATTGTTTTTAATGTCATTATCTGTTCTCTCGGGAAGGTAAGATGCAATGGCAGCCCATCTGCAACAAAACCATCATTAACAACAACAAATCGAGTTTCCTTCTCTACAAATTTAGAATCGAATTTGAGTGAATTTGAGATCGGATGCATAAATTTTCCTTAATACATACTTGTTGCCTAAAAGAGCTTGAAGCTGAATGATCATTCTCTCTTCATGATCAGTGAAGTTACCTCTCTTGATCCCCGGCCGGAGATAATTAGCCCACCTTAGCCTGCAACTTTTACTGCATCTTCTCAATCCTGCATAAAAAACCACATACAACAACACATAAACTTTAGAAAAACCTTGTACCATTCCAAACTTGTCTAGTTTAATGTTGGTAACTCGAGTTCATGGCAAGCAGATCGAGCACATAACACGTCAAGAACTCTTTATCAGACTGTGTAATGAAAAACATTTTAGCTTACCGGTAATTGTGGGAACGGTCCTCCAATTTCCGGGGCCGTGTTCTTGAACATAAGAAACCAACATTAAGTCTTCTTCAGGAGTCCATGGCCCTTTCTTTACTCCCAATTTATCACAGCAAGGAGGTCTCCCCATATTGCCGTGTTCTTGATTCTCTTCTTCTGTAACTCTTCTTGATTCAACCTTTTTTCCTTGAAAATCACAATCCTTCTCCTCCTCTTTGTTTCTTTTTCGAAATACAGAGAAAAATGTATCAAGGGATCTGTATATATAGACGTTAAACCAACTCGTCTAGAAACTTGAGATATTAAAAAAGACGGTGCAAGCTAGTGGATAACAGCAAGAATTGCACCTTAACACGTCTATTTATTTAAATTTTGTATTTAAGGGACGGCATACGTCCTAATTGCGCTGACCTATAAGAAGGATAAAAGGACCCAAAGAATCAAAAGTTGACAGCAAATGCATTAATTCCACAATGAACTAGCTAAAGTCAGCTGTGTCTATTGCCATTTCTGCAGCCTCACCAAAACCGCGTGGCATTCAATGATGTTTGCCTCTGCAATGAAACCGTAATGTGGTCTTTTTTGTAGTGAATTTTCTTTAATAAACTTTTCATGCCACACTTCGTGAAAATTGTGCTTACTGCAGCAATAACAAAAACCCCAGTAATTGCTTCTTGTATATTTTCAAGGACAAGTTGTTTTCAAGGGTTATTTTCTTGCCAATTTCATGTGATTTCACCATCACGCATCTCGAAAATAGTTTGAGTGTACTTAAAAGCTACTGTAAATATACTTTTGAAAGACGTCTCTTAACATACTTTCAAAAAACAATTTAATTTTTAAGTTACGTGAGTAAGTTGACTTGCTTTATGTGAACTTAGAGATTCAATAGTTACAATACATATAATTGTAGTCATTTATCACGCTCTTAAAAGATTACTTTCCGTATCCTAGTTTGGATTCACCCTTCGTACATCCTTATTGCTCGGGATAGAGCAAAAATGGTCTAGCCACAACAATTATTTATTTTTAATATCGAGAACTTTTTGCAATCGTAAAATGCGATAGGCTACTTATAGAGGGTAGGATGACCATAACGTCGGTTGGGATGTACTCTGACCTAACCCTAATACTTCATTATAATCCTAAGCATCGATAAGTTGGCACATTAATTCATTGGTGGATAAAGATTTTGTGAGTTCCAATCCACCAATGAATTAACGTGCCAACTCATCGGTGCTTATATATATATATATATCAGAAATGATCTAATGAGCACCGGTGCTCATCTTATCCTAAACACCGATGAGTTGGCACGTTAATTTATTGGTGGATAAAGATATATATATCAGAAATGATCTAATGAGCACCGGTGCTCATCTTATCTTAAGCACCGATGAGTTGGCACGTTAATTTATTGGTGGATAAAGATATATATATCAGAAATGATCTNGATCATTTCTGTATATATATAATCAAGACTCCTTGCAATCCAACGAAAAAAAAAAAGTAATCTATAATTCTACGAAATTTTCAAATTTATTTCTCTACTAACCCTCGTCACTAACTTACACATGAAAGTTTATTCATCTATCCATTTTACATTTTTCTACACTCAGCAATCTAACGATGTTTTATTTATAAAAAAGAACAAGATTTTAATTTCATGCTGTCAACAACAACAAAAAACTCTAATTACTTTCTTGAATCAAGAAGGGGTTTGGAGAAATCCTTGGTCATCTGGTGGAGACTGACTGATCATCAAATTTATGTCCACTCAAATGATCCAATAAATTATTAAACACTACAAAATTAAATTTTCTCCTTTTGTGCATGTGGGCAAATTAATGGGAATAGTTATGGGGACCATCTTCTTTCATTCAGAAAATTATCAACTTTTCAATTAATTCTAATACTTGTATAGAAAGGAAGAATACTGACTGTTGACACCAGTTTGGCCTTTTGTACTAATTTTGTACAGTGACTAGTAATTAGCAAGAATGTGAGGATTTATCGATGTAGACATTTGACAATTAAGTCCCTGTTTAACTCCTATTTTTCTATAATTATTTTTTTTTCAAATTCATTTTCAACCACGTATTTTATGAAATTTAATTGCAACTTTATTAACTTTTCAATCACGTATTTCATCAATTTTTATTAAAATCTGTTAAAATTTTAATTTTTAGTTAAACCGAACATGGGCTAAATCTCAATTTTTTCATTATTTTTATATCAACAGTAGTGTGAAAAAGATGGCATGACTTCAACTGGTTTAAGAATAGTTATCGACTTCCTTAAATTAACATTCATCCATCCTTGGACCAATTTTTTATTTGTTTCACACGTTTATCTTCTTTAATTTCATTATACACAACATAATCCTAATGTGAATGTCGATTTCTAAATCCATGAATAAGACATTTTTTGGCAATAGTCAACGTTGAACGTGCGTAGCACGTTATTATAAAATATTTTATGAGTACTGTAAAAGTAAATTTGAATATGCGTGAATGTTAATTATTTTAAAATTAATATCAAGAAATATATCTGTGATAATGGATTTTAAATTATTTATTTAATTTTCAATAAAGTAAAACTAGATGTTAATTAACAAACATGACGTGAATAATGAAATGCATTATTAAATGTGAAATTCTAGTTAACTTATAATTAGAATTAATAACACTGAAATGCATAAACGAAGACAAATATTAACTAAATGAATGTAAATATTGATTAATTGAGAATTAATAATGGGGAATTCATACATTAATGAAAGTATACAGATGAAATGAATTTGTCAAATATACATATACATTGATGGTAATTAAATAGTTAAATAAATTAAATACATATTGATAAATGAAAAATAAGGTATTATTGAAATAATAGAATTATAATAAGATTAAAATCGTTCAAAAAATAATTCTCACTTGGTGTGATATTTAATTCCAATTGAGTAAAATTGATGTTAATTAGTATACATGAACGTGAATAATGAAATTTATTCTTGAATGTGAAATTCTAATTTTCTTATAATTAGAATGAATAACACTGAAATACATAAATGGAGATGAATATTAACTAAATGAATGTGAATGTTGATTAACTGAGAGTTAATAATAGGGAACTCATACATTAATGATATCATACAGGTGAAATGAATATGTCAAATGTACATGTGCATTGATGATAATTAAATGATTAAATAAATTAAATACATATTGAAAAACGAAAAATAGAGTATTATTGAAATAATTGAATTATAGTATGGTTAGAATAATACAAAAAATAATTCTCATTTGATGTGATATTTAAGGGTTTTGCTACCGGTACATCAAAGTGTACACAAGGGGTTACACCCCTCTCACATGGGGATGGAACCCACTTTAATAAAAAAATATGAGTAATGCTACAGGTACATAAGCTTCTACATAAGGGTTCACATAATTACACGTGGCATATGATCCAACATTTATTTCAAATTTTACATTTACACATCAACAACTGGATGATTGACACTTCACCATTATGTGCATCATTATGTACCTCTAGCATTATTCTTTCAACTTATACAAAAGTGGAAAGTTTTTTCACTTTTACCAATTAAACGACCCAACATAAGGGTTCACATAATTACACGTGGCATATGATCCAACATTTATTTCAAATTTTACATTTACACATCAACAACTGGATGATTGACACATCACCATTCTGTGCACCATTATGTGCATCATTATGTACCTCTAGCATTATTCAAAAAATATTATTCAGGTGGGTCCCATTCCCCATGTAAGGGGGTGTAATCCCTTGTGTACATCTTTTGATGTACAAGTAGATAATTTCGATATTTAATATATTATAGATTAGGGGATGTTTCCAAACGAATATCAATGTCAAGCAATATTTAATAATTGAAGGGACTAAAAAGGTTGATTTCATCATTTTAGTAATTGAGCTTTGGATTTATTATCATGTAAGCATAATTTTCTAAATGGGTTTTCAAAAGTCGAAGCGTGTCTATGCAATAAAGTAAAATATTTTGTCAAGAATGGGATTCGAACCCATGCCCTTTCGGACCAGTACCTGAAACTGGCGCCTTAGACCAACTCGGCCATCTTGACAAGATGACAGTTTTCATATTTATTATATTCATAATGTCTCCTGATTTTGGGCTTCATAATTTTGTATGGAACTACATGGCCCTTGCTCCCCTAAGCCCAATAATACTGGGCCTTGCTCTTAAAGCCACAAACCCTGATCCACTAGAAACAATTTTCCCGGCATCCATCGTTCGGTAATTGCACCCAATCTGTTCGACCTAATTACGCACTGAAAACATTACCGCATTGGGAACATATGTTCTTCGCTAAATCTGAAACATCGTGATCGATGTTACTGGACGCAAAATCTACATTACTTTGTTAACTTATTCGATTAGTGGATGATGAAGAAATCCCGTCTTTTGTTTGCTGAAAAGAGGAGGACGAGATTAAAATATTGTAATCGGAGAAATATTTGATTCTGTAATGTGCCAATAACAGGTATTTGTTCGTCTCTTTCTCGTTCGTTCCTTCATATGCTTCTTTGATATGTACGCAGTTCTTGTTTCGTATCGAAATTTCATAATTTCAGAAACTGCATTGTTATTTTGGTTGTGTTTTTTCTCTACCTGTTTATCCACTGTATAGACAATAGACCAATACGGTTCTTCTATTTTTTTTCCCCAGATATAATTGTATGTTTTCTTCGTTTTGAAATTAGTCAAAGTAGAAGTGGTAAGTTGTAGTGAATAATGGATGATATAGAGCAAAAATGCTCCTTGAGTTTAGAAGATAACAGGTAGAATATTTTGTATTTAATAAACTCAAGTAATCGAATTAAATTATTTTGCAACTTGCATTGTATTTGGGAGCTTGTTGGTTCCTAGAAATAACCAATGGTAGTTTGAAGGTCTGGGTTACATATCAATTTTGCCATTTTTTCTAGCTTGTTTTGTTTTTCAATATGAAAAGTTTGTATTCCTAATATTTGATATTAGAACCGAGCATCATCAAAGGTAGGAGCAAATCCTAGCAATGGAGCTTCAACTTGAGTGCATCCCAAAAATGGAGTGTATGATTC